CAATGTTAATCTCCAATCTTACTTAAAAATAAGCGGATGTGATCATAATAAAGGGTACAAGTGTTGACAATGTGGGATGAATGTAATAACACCTTTACAATCAATATCAATATGCAAATAAGCAACTAGAAATCCATAAGTAATGAAAATTGAAAGCTATATGCAATTGATTGCAAGCAAATATCAACGACGCAAGTTCACTATGCAAGCTACAAGTTATTTCTAAGGATGATGAAAGACTTGTAATGTTCGTTATAACTCACACACAAGCAATAGATATGCAAAATGAATAAACATGAAGGAGTGCAATAATGTCTATGTCATCAGCAATGATTCAACGTCCAAAAAATACATCAATAAAGAAGACCAATACATAATGAGCATAATGAATCGATGACCAAGACCTGTTAAGCAAGCTTTAAGAAATTATAATTTGCAAGTAATCGATGTCATTTAACTCTAAGCAAGCGTACAAAATCCTTGGCACATGTTATGAAGTACCAATAAATAATGACAGTTGATGCACAATATTCACGTCAAGCATGCAACAAATTTCTTAGTCCCCTTTGTGATATCAATTTGTAAGCAACATTGGTCCACTGCAAAGAACACATACATTGCCTACAGGCAATGATAGAAGACTTCTCATGCATTCTGCCATTTTCTAGTATATTAAAGTGAAAATAGTTGCAAGCAATGGTAGATGATCTATCACATGTGCAACAATGACGAATATAACGACACCCTGCAATCAACATTAAAATATAAGCAAATGCAACCAACCTTGCAGTCAACGTTAATCAAGCACCAAATGCAAATACTTACGAGCCCTTGTAGGAGACTCATTATACACACAAAATGTCATCTAAAAACATCGAATGTAAACTCCTACTAACAGTTGAACAAGTATACACTCGACATGGTGTCTATAGGTAGAAGTGAAAGAATATCAATAGATGCAAGTGTATGCGACCGACTGTAGGAGGCTTATTAGTATATGACAGTCTACTTGTATGAACCAAGCAACAAACAACTATAGAGCAACACCATGCCACTAGATCTTCAACATTCATATTAGCAGATAGAAGGCGTTTATAAATCCCTAGCACACCACGACACTATGCTACCGAATCCGCAATATTCATACAAGCGGACATAAGATATCTATGGGCTTTTAAATAAATTATTGTGCACATCCAAACGTTGATCATTCACATAGCTGTTCATCATGAAATATTCCAAAAATTCCCTTCCCCCACACATACATTACACCATGCATACACACAAATATATATATATATATATATATATATAATCAAATACTTGCATATTCCCCTACAAACATGTTATAGGTGCACACATAACATCTGAGGATGCTGTGCGGGTCAAATATAAATCAGAGTTCAACCCTGATCCTTCTAATTGAAAGGATAGGAGTTGACATGGTTCAAACCAACGAATGAATGTACGGTTGTGGTGCCGACCAAAATATTTTTCTTATACGCTCATATTAGGTCTTCAAGGTCTATAAAAAAATTTCATTGACGAAGACAAATTCTTTTACGAACTCGATTCTTTGTCAGCAATTAAACATATTTAACAAACTAAAGTTCAATAGATAATTATAAAAATACCCCCTGAATACCTACATAAGCCCCAACAAGCGTGTTAAGGATACACATTTGACATCTAAGGATGCTGTGCGGGTCAAATAATAAATTCAAATTCGAGCCTGATCCTTCTATGAGAGTAGATAGGAGTCGACTCAGCTCAAATTATCAAACAAATGTACGATCGTGATGTTGATCAAGATATTTATTTTGTACATTCATATTAGACATTCAAGTCTTATAACAAAAAAAAAAATCACTAATAAAGACATAAAGCCTACGATGAATTTCGATCCTCTATCAGTAAATAGGCAAGGTCAATAAGGTTCAATCAACAAAATAAAAACAGCTCATAAAAATTTCAATGATGACCTTGTTGAATGTAAATCTCAAGCAAAGGGGATCACATATTTTTAAATGCCCTCAAACTTCCACAGAATACAAATGTTTTCAAATAACCCCATATACTTACGACGGTGTTGAACATGGATCTCAACCGGATGGATTAATTCCAAAAATAAAATGCAAATTAAATGCCCAAAAATTTAAACAACAAAAAAATACCAAAATTCAAATATTTAAAATTAAAATCATTCATCATAACACTTAAAACAAAAATTTATCCAACAATTTGCCGAGGTGGACAAATTTAAATATTATTTCAGCTCATAAAGAGCTAATGTCTGGTAATGAATATTACTATAATTCATTCTCAAACAATCTCTTGTTAGCAAGGACGTGACACGTGTCCTCTAACCGAAAGTTTTGCCATCAAATGACACTGCACGTAAACAGTTATGATCGGGGCCATGTGAACTGGGTAGTTTGCCGCCAAATGACACCACAAAATAACGGTCATGCCCAGAATTCGTATGCTCCCCAATGACACCAAATTCTTGAGATATGAATCAATATGATATAATCGATAGGGAACAAAGCCCTATGTTAGCTAAGGTAGATTCAAATTCACCCCCTTAAACAAATATTCATCCAAGATCTACAAGGTACCATTGGACGACACAATCCATGGCTGCCGATAAGGATCCTTTTGTCGACTACTTCTTCTGACTAAGTAGATCATGGACCACGATGGCCTGGGATGATGGAACCATGAGATCTTGATCTGGTCCATCATCCATTCCCCTACCATCCGATTTAAGTGCAAGATGGTAAATTTTTTAATTTTAAACGTCAAATTTCCAAACACCCAAACCCATGCTGCTATTATACACCAAATAACACGTATATCTACTTATCTGATCGATGACTAGCATTAATCAAAATTTCTCTCTCGTTGTCGGGAGGGATAATTAACTATAGGGGCTTGCGTCTATAGGAAACCAAAACTCATATCATAAAGTCCTCGCAAACTGAGGGTGAAATCTCTACATAGTGTCTTATCTACAAACCCAATATGACTTCTGAAAATTTACCCCAAAACTTAATCCTTTAAAACTCCCCCAAAAGAGGGGAAGCCGGCACTAAAGTTATCCCAAACGAAACCTTAATTGACTGCTTATACTTTTCCTTATACTCTCATGAACTGAAAATGAGAAACTGATGGCCTCGAAAAGGCTTGACCGTTTCTTTCCATTTGCATTTTAAGTTAATGCTTTGAAGTATGGCATGTGATTGCCTTGCTATGTTTGTTGAATGAAGCTCTTTTTTTTTTAATGAAGGATTTTGAGTAATATTAATCATAAACTCACACATATGATGTTTATGTACGATCTAGAGCTCAAAATCTCTTAATTGGAGTCTAAACATATCTCCAACAGGCTGAGATAGGCTTAATATGAAGCTATATTTACATAAAAAAAGTCTTATTTTCAATGATGAGAGTACTATTTTACTTTGTTGAATCTCTCTAGATGTTCATATTATCTGTTTATCTGCTTGGAATTGGTAAATTTGGCACAACTGTTGAAGTTGAAAGATAACATGCTATTGTCGTGTAAATTCCCTACCTCTTATATCTTATTATTAGATCTACATTGGGCAGCTTTTGGTCTACGCTTCTTTTCATATTTATTTCTTCTAAAATTTGAAGTATCAAAGCTCAAATTTAATTTAACACTGTTTTTTAAGGATTTCATGAGCAAAATTCGATTTCATTTACGGCTTCGTTTGGGACAGCTTTCATACTGCTATTTAAAACGGTTTTTTAGTACAAAAAATCAAAAATTTCAAATTCAAGAAATTTTTGTACTGTAAAGCTGTTTTAGAAAGCAAGAAGAAAGTCGTCCCAAATGAAGCCTAAGATGACTTTCTTTCTGCTTTTTAAAACAGCTTTTTAATTTATATTTTTTAATTTTTGTACTAAAAATAACTTTAAGATAAAGAAACCCGTCTAATGTATTGGCATTAAACACATATTATCTTACCTAATATATGGCCTTGCTAGAATTAAAAATTACTTGAATAAATGTGCTCCGTGAATATCAGGAGGTGACACCATTCATTAGTAAATATTGAACTAATAGAATCTTACCTAATATAGAATAGACCAATTTTAGGATTATAATTTATCATGGAATATATTTGATAATATAAAGCTAAGAGAACTATTGAATATGATAAATTATAATCCTAAAATTATTTTGAGTAACAAAAAAGATTTGTCTAAAATCAATTAGTTTCTTTTTAATAAAGTATTATAACTAAAATTTATATGGCATAGTGGCATTTATGCAACACAGAGAGGCCTACGTGTTAATTTCAAAAAACCGGTTACACAGTCTTAGAAGGATCCCACTGCCACTGTCCAGCACATTTGAGCAGTAGAGAGCTGGACAGTGGCAGTCTTAATTAAGGCTTAGTCCAACTTTTTTATTGCTTCTTAAAATAAATTTTTAGTAAAAAATTAAAATTTATATACTAAGAATCTGTTTTAAAAAATAATAAAAAAATCGTACCAAACAAAACTTAAAATTCAGATTTGGAGCACACAAAAGAAAAGCAAAATCATATAGAACGGATCGAGAGAAATTTCAGTTTGCAATATCAAACTAAAAAATTTAGCTCAGGATGAATGGCATATTTCTTAAAACTATACGATAAATTTTTATATTTTGCAAGATATATGATAATGATATCTCGCAAAATTAAAAAAAAAATTTATAAATTTTAAAGAAAATGCCTATGTCATGAGCTAAATCCCACGTAGAATATCGATAGCTAAGTTTTGTCCAATTAGAACATAAGAGAAATCTAGGATACAAATTAATAGCATAGTAGAAGAGAAATTATTAGACGAGGATGAAGAAGCTGCAGAAGATGCCCATGCATCCATTCAATCAGGAGTACTTAGCTCCTGATTGTCTGGTTGCTGCACCTTCTGCACAATAATAATCGATATCTAATAATCTCTCTCTCAATTCCATCATTCTATCAGTTGGTTGAAGCCGAGCATGAGGAGGACTTAGAGATGCTACACTCATCTTTGAGCCCCCCAGTGCTAGTTGTTGGGAAGAGCTCCAAGGTCTTTGGAGGTTTGCAGCATGGCAGCGGCCGTTCCCCAAAGCTTGGATCCATCAATGTCATCCACTCGCAACCACACGGCCACGTGCTGCCATTTGATGAGGAAGTAGCCTCCTCTTGGTGGCCGCCGGCCTCAAGCCTCCTCAGCAAATCCAGTCCATGCGATGCTGGCTCCTGAAATCCTCCTTCCTGCAAGAAATCACTTATTTTCTTCTTCAAAAACAACATCTTCTTCGCAGTTCATCTGTTATATGGCGTACTTCTATAGAACTGATCACCATAATAATATATGACACTGGAAGTATAGTATTTGTTGCTCTTCAATGGTGTTACAGTTAAGACGAGGAAATATATGTAGATTTCACTCAAAATGGAGCTTAAAGTCTTCTTTATTTGATTGCTTGAAAGTAGAATACAAGTTCTAAGAGAAAGATGACATCGTTTTTATTCATTGACTACATAGAAAGCATGTTGCTCATAGCTAGGGTTTATTACTTAGTTTCATGCATAGTATATAGGTATTAGAGAAAACCAACACATCAGCTGCTATTAAGGACATCTAGTATCACCTGTGATTTTGTAATACGTGTTATACGCCTATGAAGTTCATAGGCGTATAACACGGTATTACAAAATCACAGGTGGTACTAGATGTCCTTAATAGCACTTGATGTGTTAGTTTGCCCTAAGTAGGGCAAGAATATCCAACTTGGTAGTCCACCTATATATGAGCAAAATGCTTTCTCCTAATTTTATAACACAAAACCCTAGTTACAAATCAAAGTTATCCTCAAAAACACATAATTTCAAGCAAAACCCTAAGTTAGATCAGTCACGAATACCTCATATATATAAGCCCGCATTGATATATGTTCTCCTAAACCCTAAACAAGGAATAAAGAAGTAACAAGAGAGTAGTACTATACATGTTGAAGAAACTGAGGATGCATCTGGTGTCCATAGAACAACTGAGAAGAATCATCAGGAAGAGGAAGAGAATGACCATCCTCCAAGTTATGAAAGTGGAAAGAATTTTGAGAAAATGGCGGCATAGACTGTTGCTGCTGCTGCTTGGTAAGCCTTCTCCTAAGTTTCTGTCTCTCTCTAGCTTTGTGGTTCTGAAACCAGTAGAAGACATTCTTGCCTTCTATTTTGCCATAGTAAGAGAGATGTGAAGTGATTTGCTGAATCTGAGAAGCATTTGGAGTCCTTACTCCAGTTCTGTACATTTCTTCAAGTATCATTAGTTGCTCTGGTGTTGGACACCATCTTGTTGATGGAACCTGTGGCATTTTTGCCTCTCTAAGCACTCTTTCTTCTCTTATGGTATTGGTCTTCTTTCTCAGTCTTCTAAGTTTGTCTTTTGAGTTTATAGTTATATAAGGAAATATATAGAAAGGCTCTCCTTTTACTTGACATAGATTCGACGAGTTTTTTATAGTATTTTCATATAAAAGAAATACTTCTTAATGAAGCTCACACATTTGCTCAAATGGTTTAACTCTTTGGTGTGGGAAATATTCTCAAAAGAGATAGAAATATTTATACAAAGATTAATTAGATAATATTTGTAAGGAATTTCTTTATATTTTAAAATTCCTATAATTAATGAGATTCACATTCATCATCTCTATCATTAATTAATCAGTATTTAAATTCATAAAAATAAAATTTTAAAATAAAATATGAAGCATTAGAACTTTTATAAGTTCTTATCATGTTATAATACTATCCAATTCATAGCTCCAAAAATTATGATTTTCTTAACTTATGTACTAACTTTCATTAAACTATGTATGTTGGTCCAAAATAAAGTACTTATTTATCATTCAAATCAATATATTTTTTATATAATTTATGTATAAAAAGAAGAAAATTGTTTTTTGGGGACATTGAGGCCATTTAAGGCAAACTCATACACACAACTCATACACATAGACTCGAGCCTTGGACCTCTTAGTTGGAAGCCTAAGCTCTCAACCAATAGGCCAAGGAGAGTTGTGTAGAAGAGAATTGTTAGCTCAACATTTCCTCATACAAACGACTCATAAAAATACATGTTGACAATATATTAACGGTGTGAGAATCATTGCCATTTTTGTACAAGCTTCTACTGCTGAAAGGATGGTGTCGAACAGTGTAATGAGAGAGAGAGAGAGAGAGAGAGAGAGAGAGAGAGAGAGAGAGATGATAGAAGAGACAAAAGGGAAAGAGCAAAGTGGAGGGGGAGAGAGATGGGAGGGAATGAGGAAAGAGGGAGGAAGTACTGTCATGCTGATGTTGGTCTGAGTGATAATAAATGAAGGTTTCAATGCCTGAATGCTGGCTTGGTCTTCTTTCCCTGTTTACAGGCTTTTTTTCCTTCTCAAATTAACTTTGAAGGAACAAGAAGGAGAGACAGAGATCCATATAATTTGATAAGATATGCCAAAGTCTTACATTTGTGGTTGCAATTTGATTGGGCTAGTTAATTACTAGTGTGAAATAATAAGAGAGAATGACACGCAGCTGGCTAGCTACACGTTTGTCTCTGCGACCTTTTGGTGGAAAGCTGCAACTATAAGATGATGATGATGATGGCCATGATTTACTTATAAACACCCAATTATTATTAGGTGCATCTCTTTTATTATTTATGAGAAATTGAGTGCCGTGCAAAATCTGTTGCTCAATAGTTATGAGAGAGATTAAGAATTTGTTTTGGTCGGCTTAAGGGTATTTTTTGAATAATTTTCTCATTGCTTTGCTTTTAAGATCATAATTATAATTTTTCTGTTTGGCTACTATTTTTTTTCCTACTTCCAAAAAATTTTTATGATAGGAAGCTATATTTTATATCAACTTTTAAAAAAATTATTTTTCACAGAAGAACTTTACAACTACTTTTATAAAAATCTACAATCATCTTGAACATATCCAAAGTTTTTGTATTTTTTCTTTTTAAAACTTCTTATTTAAGCAAAGTCTCAAAATTGTTTTTTTTTTTTTTCAAAAATAGCCTTTCAAAGTCAAAAATTTGAAAAAGAAATGAAAAGCTGTTTTTCAAACACACATTGTTTCTTTATATCTATTTTTCTTATTACGAAAGCAATCAAAAAGCTATTCTTAACAAAACCTAAGGATCTGTTTGGGGTAGCTTTCTGGCTACTCTTCTTTTCAAACAACAATCACAATTTCGATTGAATATTTCTTTATCATTACTTTTATAAATTTTTGCAATGAGAAAAAATTTTTTTTTTTGGTAGTAACTAAGTTATTGCCACCATAGAAACTTTACCACTAATTTTATAAAATATTGTAGTCATCTCAAATAAATCTTAAGTATTCGAGCCACAAATTTCATGATTTTGCAATCTTTATTGTAAGAAAAAAAATTAAATGCTGAAACATAAATATAATGCACGTAAAATTTCATCATATATGTTTCATAATAACTTATAGAGTCTTTATCAACTAAACTAGCTAATAACTACTGCAATTTTTTAAAATAAAATACTTTTCAATCATCACCTATAAAGCTAAGCTATTTTTTAACACATATTTTTGTGAAAAAAAAAACATTTTCTCCATAATGAGGGGAGATTGAGCTAGAAAGGATTTGCCACAACTTTGAACTACATTCATCAAAAAACTACCTGCTTTCATGAATTTTCCATGGATCACAAACTTTTATTGCTTGCCTGCAGTACTCCTGACCTTATTAATATAATTAATTAGGTAACGTATTAATTGTAGATGCTATATATTCAATTTGCTGACAGTTGGCACTTTAATTCATTTAGATTTTAGCTAATCATGCTTATGAAATTGGACTAAAATTTAATCAAATTTGATAAAATTACTGTTTTTTTAAACAATAAGAGCTTAATCAGTTTTATGGGATAGTTTCATTCAATTTTGTGTACATTTGCCATTTTTTTTCTTAGATGATAGTTCATTTATTTTTCTATCCTAAGTTTAAAATCTTGTTCAAATTTATTTATTAATTCTTGAATTGTAATCTAAATTAATCAAACCTATCCCATTATATGTTCAACACTAATTAATGGTACACAAACAACATTAATTCACTAACTTCATATCGTTAATTGATTCTCCCCCAATATAATATAGAGATTACTTGAATCGGGTCATTTATTGATATTAAGTTTCTCGGTTCTCTCTTCTTATAAGAATAAGATTATTTCGACCGTTTGTAATCATCTAACAATTACATGTCATCCGATTCTCCTTCCTTTTAGGAGCACCACTTAAATCTTCTTTGATGATCACCTGCCAAGTATAGGTCTCTCAATTCTCCTTCCTATAGGAGATAGATTGATCACCTCTAATTGTGTAGTGACTTTAGGCCCTTAAATTAGACCTCCTTCCAAGAGAATGATTCTGCCGATTGCCTCTAATCATCCATTGACTCTAGTTGATTGTTAGGACTAGGTTGCCCAATTCTTCTATTTTCTAGGATAGGGGTTACCTTGATTGCTAGCTTCCAATTTCCCATTAAATTTCAAGGCAAGAACATTTATCTTAGTTGAAGTCTTTTTATGTTGTGTCGAGCCCTCCTATAATTTCAAGATATGATCGTAGCTCTTTCTAATTAATATAACACTAAAAATTATGAAAATCATTTCAAATGGGCATAGGCTTTGTGTGTGTATGTGTGTGTGTGTTTTTTTTTTTCATCTTGATTTCATTTAAACAAATTTTGACATCTCATATCCATTGTATTTCTACTGTTTAAATTGTGCATGGGCTCATCATTTGAAGCTTAGATGATAAATTTTCTCTCCCTCTCTCAATGTGATATTCTAACATATAACAAGTTCGGAAGAGAACATAGCTCAACATATTTAATAACTAAATTTCAGCCTGAATTTAGCATCAAAGACAATTACATTCAACTTATGAGGCAATTCTATCAATTTTCTTAGTTGACAAATTTCTTCTACAAAACTACCTATATTTGCCTAAATTGTTATCACATAAAATAACACAAAACATCTTGTTATTCTATAAAAGTACAGCACTCACTAAAAAAATCTTACATTTAATCAAATTTCAACATTTTAGAATGTTATTATCCATTTTTTTTCCTAATAAAACATACAAACCAAACGCACGTAGAAGAAAGAATAGATGAGGAATGTTACACATACTTCTGGATAAACGATAGGTCCCCCTCCCTCTCTTACCACTTTCATCGTCAATTTATGCTCTGCTTCCCGTCGATTAATGCAGCTTGCAGACTGCAAAGATTCCAACAATTATTTATTGCAATTTATATCGATAAGCTCTTTTCCTTGACCAAAAGGTCCAAATCTTTCTCTCTCTCTCTCTCTCATGCTTTGTGGACATAACGGCTCTACAGTGTTTCTGAGGTTAGATAAATAGTATTTCCCTTTTTCCTATCATTCCAAAGCTAGCATTTCATTGACTTTAGTTATACTATTTAATTATCATGTCTGGTCTATTTGTTGCTCAGAAACAAATTCATTACTGCTCTTATTTCATGCAGGTTTTGTTAGGGAAGAAGCCCTATTGCCTATATTGTCTTCTATCTTCTTTTGTTTATTTGAGCGCAGGTGGCTTTCAGTAGCTTCCAACGTTCTAAACCATATTTATATCTATTATTCCTTTTCCTCTGAGAGCCTGTTTAGTTGGGAACCAAGCCCAAACAATTACTGTGTCAATTTTCTAAACCTGAGCTTAATTACTTTAAAAATGACTCTTAAGTGATTAGTTAATCTAATAATTAATTAACAACTATTCTAATAATACTTATTATCAGCTAATTAATTTATAATTAATTAAGATCATCTATAACCGAACTGTATACCACCATATGCCGTCCTCCATGCATTCACTGCATTCGAACTCCAAATCTCACGCTAAAATTCGGTACTTGAACAGTGTGACGCCAATATTGACGTCGTCGAACTGTTTACATACACCATAAAACCCTATGCTTGAGAATTTGTCGTAGAAGAGCGGGAAAGAGGAGAAAAGCATGAGAAAGAGGAGAGAGATGGTTACCATCGTAGGAAGCGCGCAAAAGATTAGAGAAATGAAATTCGATTGGAGATGAATTATGCTATTTTGACGTTTTCTGCATTTTAGAGTGTAAAATGGATTTTCCGATTGGAAATGCCCTCATTACTATAGTTAATGTAAGTTTTTCACCTTTTAAAATAAATTTGAGCTTATGTAAGCTTATTCTTTAGCTAACCAAACACTTAAGTTAGCTTAAGACCTGTGCTTAGAAACTTATCTTTGTTATATATACCCTAAAAAATAA